CTGTATTCATTAATGGTCCTATTTGGGCCTTCATCCTAGACTTCCTAACTGGGTTTCTTCCCTTGGTTTGGACTACACTTTTTGTATGTCAACAATTACCCCCCAATATGGCAGAATTAATACCAATTATTAGTCTTTGTCATATTCTTCCTTTATATTTTTCCAGCAATATTTGAAATTATCAAGAATTTCAATCATTATTTCCTTCTATAGCCTGAAAAGGTACAACGTTACAAACCCCTATAAACCCAAAAGTCACGCCATTTCGTCACACCACTAAACCACGTCTCTATTTTTCGCGCTTCCTTCTCATTATTTATTGTTCATCTTCTTGCTTCTATACTACGTTTCTTCGGCAAATCTCACAAAAACTGTGCTTTGCATCCAATGGCGACTTTACGCACTCATTCCGATAATACCTTCAGTTTCGAAAACTTTCAAAACCTTCTTACTAGACCATATATAAATTTGAACTTCCTAGCACAAGCCAATGCTGACATCAATGAATTTTATCTAGGCCCATCATTCAATGACGCTGAAGCTATTGGACAAGTGGCGGTGGGTTAGCTGTTCCCTTGTACTCAAGACCCTTCGTTTCTGAACTCTTTATAACTGAGGCTGATTCGTGAAAAAGTATTCTCTCCTGGCCCGAAATTGATGTAATTTTTTGTAGGTGGCATGCACATATGGTAAATCATGGTTCTACCAAGGCAATTTTTTATCGTGCTAGGATTTCAGATTTATTTGAAATCACCCTTCAACCCCCAATCCTCGACCCAGTGCTTTTTCCTATTGCGTTGAGTTTTTGGTCTTCTAAATACAATACATTTGTTTTCCCGCTTGATCCAATGTCTATTACCTTAAGAGACGTTGGAGCCCTAGTAAATCTTCTGCCTTTGGGCGATACTATCTTTCCTGGCATTTTGATTTCCAGTCCTGCCCCAAAATTTGACAAGAAATTCCCTAAGTTTTATTTAAGCATACAAATCCTTTACATTCATTCAAGCGCTGAACCTTCTCATGCTGAGCGTATGGCTTTTCTTCAAATTTGGCTCTGTAAATATATTCTCTGTGTGCCTAGTATGAAACCTTCTATGAGTTACTTACCTATTGTACACAAGTTGGCGCGTGGTAGGCCTTTGAATTTATGTTCCTTCTTTTTGGCCGCCCTTTATAGAAGCATGTATTTCCCTTCAATTTCAATTGAAGAATTGTGCATTTCATACTAGCAGTGGGCCCCTTTGGTTCACTCAACTGTGGTTGAAAGCATACTTTCCACAACTTGGTGCTCCATCCACTTTCCTTTGTTCTGCTAGCTGCTATGGGCTAGCCATTGACCCATTGAACCCTGTAAATATGTCTAGTAGGGACATTTTTTCATTCTTTCATAACTTCAAGTCGATTCCTTCCTTCTTTCCTTTATCTACTCACTTGACTCCAGATTATGTGCAACCTCCATCCACCTTAGATAGTGCGATCACTTCTTTGCTTGTTTGGGTTCAGTGTTTGATTAGGAGAGAACTGTTCCACGACATTTTTACTGGAACTAATGCCAAGGCCGAGGTTGAAATATATGCTCCCCAATTCTTTGCTTGTGAACTTGGTTATGGCTAAACTGGCTGGTTCCTCCTTGTTACTCTAAATATTTGGTAGACCATTTTCATACTATTAATAAAGCAGAAGCACAAGCTATAGATGCTCGCAACATTCTTTTGACAAGCAACTTCAGTAATCGGGGAAAGTTGAGATCGTATGTCGTTCATCCTATTTTTAAACAGCTCAGCCATCAGTAAAACACAGATTGTTTATTACTGATGGTACTCGTGCCTCCATTTACTAGATCGGCCAGACACCCCCTCTACTTTTCCCGTTCTGGCCACCCCTGTGTCCATTAGCAATCATTCCTCACCTGCTCGCGCTAAACCCCTTATCCTTCCACCTACTTCTCCACCTACTAAGGCTGCTACAGCCAAGGGTGCCTCCAGCAGCATACGGCCAGCTTCAGCTTCTCCAATTTTACAGGATGATGATGATGTTCCCCTCATCCTTAGGAGAAAGGTAATTGTTTGTGTATTCATAAAATACCATTTTTCATGCATTAATGCTTTACCTAAATTTTTCAGAAGAGTTTAGCCTCTCCCTCGAAGGCTCTGGTCTTAGCAGCCCCTGCTTCATCACCTCCTGCTAAAGCTGCTTTGTCCAAATCAGTTGATGAAGGGACCACACTTGAAGAAAAATCTTTAGTCTCGGAGTCTTCATCACAACCAGTTGAACTTAACAAAATTGCAAATTAAGATACAAGTGCAAATTAAGATACAAGCTAAAGAGAGGCTCGAAGAGATCAAG